TGGTAGACAGCTTCCGCTATTACATGGCTTTCGTCGAAATTTAGAAAGCTTTCGATACTGTCCACCAGTTACGACTTTTACCAAGGTTGAGCTTGTATGATCTGGTTTCGCCGGGGTCAGCGCTGCATCGATTAAATCTTCACTTTGCGTCAATTGTTGGAGCACCGTCACCTATATTGACGGCCCACCATTGTCTTGTTCTTCGACATCAAACTTGCCTCTGATTCGGTGGTTCGACGTTCCCTTTGAACTGTCTGTCACATAAAGATGTGCCGACGAATATGTACCGGATATTACCGTATATAAGCCGATGAATTTTGGACAATTTTTCATATCTGTAGCGCGGCGGGTCGGCTTATACAACGGTTTTGTGCAATTTGAAAAAATCACATGCAAAATCCCTCAGAAATTCACTACACACACATGCCCCTATCTTGCCTTAGCACCACTCGCTAGTGACAGACGGTATTGCAGGCGGGGATTTGTAGTACCTATAGGTAGACAGATTATTGTTGTATGATGCCGTAAGAAGACGAACACTGGCAGATGTCAACATTTCGTATTGTCTCTTCAATGCCAACACAATAATATGAAAATATATAAGACGACAGGTAGGGTGAGACTGGAACAAGTTAGTACAGGGTAGAGGGTCAGGGGTGACACCCCTACGCCCAGGGCAGCCGTAGGCTTACGAGCAGCTGTTTCTGCACACAGAGTGCGGGTTTGATACGGCTGATCGCAACTGCCTCTGCAAAACGTAGGAAACGGGCGTTAGCATGTCTTAACATGATTGTAAACATTGTGGCCGGATCAAACTGGTGACGGGTGGCCAGTAAACGCCTACCTATGGATGAAACAGGTGGTTTACGTGAACAGATGGGATGAGCAACCGACGACTGGGTGATTTGACGCTGCAACCATTTACGTACATGTTCCCTTATTCTGGAGTTCAACGATCTATTGGTACGGCCTATGTAGTGTATACCACAACTACAAGTAAATTGGTTAATACAATGTGAGTTGGCGCCAATAGGTTGTCTTTCCGTCATTGGGGTAACAGGTATTCGATTAGTCCGGTTGATAAGGACAGTTTCGGCAGCATAATAAGTCCAGAGGACTTACGGCATTACTCAAATTACTAAAGGGATCTAATTGTTTACGATTATTGTTGTGTCGAAAGTTCTCGGTATATTGTACACTTGACTTTCGCGAAGGATGGAAGTAACAGAAACATACTGCTTATTTAGAATCGAACATAATCACACACCATCATATAAGAAAAATACATGACAGAACAGCACGTACCGGTAAATTTTATAGCCTCACATATCCAAACGCTGTACAATGGTATTAACATTACTCAAATCCTTCGAAACTCGAATCCTAGTTCGAATCACCAGACAGTGTCTGGTACTGGTCGTCTGTCATTGGGACGTCAAGGTGAATATCGTCATCTTCAACTTCACTGCTCTCCTTATTGTCGGATTCCTCAAATTGGCTTCGTCCTCACTTCCATCCATAGCATTACTGATGCAGCAATTTTGAGTGATTGCACGATTATTTCTAATGGAATATCCAGCCACGCTTCTTTCGCTTACACTGCAATTGTAACCATGTCAGCCTTTTTCGCGTTACCATCCTTCGTCAATGCTAAATCAGACGATGTCATCCATTCAAGCCACCTGGGCTGAAGCTTGTCTTTAAAGGGCTTATTGAGACAAACATCCAGTGGCTGCAATATTGATGCAAGTTCACTGGGAATTAAAACTACGGTCAACTTCAATTCACGGCATCGCTTCTTCACGTTCTCAGTCCGGTGTGCCCTAAAGGGATCCCAAACCAGCATAGATGGTTTCTTCAAAAGGGCACCTGTTAGCTTTTTCCATACTGTATTCAACCAGTCTATGGTGCCACCGTCGTCCATCCATCCTCTTGCGTGAGCTCGCCGCTTGGAAACTTCGCTCCTTTGGGCAGCGGCTTGCGGTCAAAAAAATGAAAGGTGATAGACGGGAACCATCTGCCATACACCCTAAAACACCTATCAACCGTGTCTTCTCGTGTTTTCTCGTCCTTACAAAAATTATATTAGCATCCTTTTGCTCCACCGTGCGATTTGAAGGCATATCGAAGCATACGGGCGTCTCGTTCAGATTCTTGTTTGGGATGGTCCGAAGTTGTATTGCTTTCTCAGCTGAATCGCGAATCGTTGAAAAGGTTCAACTTTACTGTCCACTTCCTTCGGCAGTTTCTGAGCTAGTTTTGTGCAGGTCCGTAGACACATGTGCAGTCGGTTCTTAACACGATTGCACCATCCGGAGGAAGCAACAAAATTCACCTGTTCTGATGACTGGAATTCCGGACTTTTTAACATTGTGAGCGACCTGATCCGAATGTTCGTTCGGGTAACAATTAACCCGTTGTGCCGTGACTCCATAACCCACTGCACTAACTTTTTCTTCAGTGCAGGAAGCATGGTTTTGCTACTGCGAACCGCTCTCTTGCCTACAGCCATTAGTGACAATTCTGACTTTTCCTTTCACCATTCTCTCATTTGCTTTTCATTCACCGTGAAATGGCATGCAGCCATAAAATTATTAGATTGCTCGGCAAACGCGACAACTTTCCATTTAAAGCCAACAGCATATGCACATCGCTTCTGTCCAGACATTTTTTCACGTTTCCACGGCTTTGGAAGATCGCACGAAATGTGGGCACATTCCGTCCCAGCTGGTTGGTGTGACCGCGTTAGTGCTATTTTGATTAACGGATCACAGCGCTTATACATTATGCTATGCTAGTCAAGCTGGTGCAGTAAAAGTACAACTTTGTCCCACACCACTGATTGTGAACTTCCCTCTCACCCGCTGCTCCAATGCGATTCAGATGTATGAGGCCCGAAACTTTGCCAGGCAGTGTCTGACAACCTTTCACCTTACTCCTTATTGTCGGCTGCCTGATCTGTTTCGTGTGACTTGACATCTAATCAATGCCCTGTCCAGTGCGGTTAAAATCATTGTTCTGATGTCTGTAAGCCCCCTTAATTGCGATCATAACACATTAGGTCGCCAAAACTGACCAATACTAGAGCAGATTCCACTTGAGCATACTCAAGTGAGAGCAGGTAGTGGTGAAGTCAAAATCATGAGAAACAATTCCCTTTGTCTTTTTGCTGATTTTTCTGGGGGTCGGCTAATATACGGACTTACCATTTTTGACAAGTTTGACGTTGCCAAGTCACGGATCGACTTATAGACAGTAACATGGGTAAATAATATCCGAGCGCTATACGCGCGTAGCTCGGGCAGAGTGAGGGCTTACGGCAAGCTGTCACCGACCTTCAATATCTCCTTCGGTGTAAGACAGGGAAACCTGCTGTCACCTTTCCTTTTCAACTTCGCAATTGACGAAGTCATGAAAATCGCATTAACTGGACACAACCTAAAAGGTGTAGTGCTGCTCTCAAATGAATGACTTCTTGACTTCAACTATGCTGACGATATTGCCCGCAGATGTGACAGCTCCCAAACGTGCCAAACAGCACTTGACAGGTTAGCATTGGCTGTCAACCGCTTCGGGCTTTGCTTGACACCTGCCAAGTGCAAAGCTTTCCTTCAAGAGTGACATGGAGCACCTGCTGTGCTGGCCCTTGGTGGGGACTACCTAGAATTCGTCCAGAAATTAAACTACCTGGACAGTTGTATCAGCGTCTGTAGAATCGAAGCCAAAGTCATGCCCCACGTAGCAAAAGCTCGAGGTGCTTGTACTAAGCTTTGCGACCTATGGCGCCGGGGCGACGTCACTGTAGTGTGGAGTGTACAATGCAGCCGTACTTTCGACCCTATTGTACGGTTGTGAAATCTGGCCCCTTAGATCAGCCGACATAAAGAGGCTAGTTACGTTCGATCACCAGTGCCTTTGCAGTTTGACTCATATCTGGTGGGAACACCGCGTGGGCAATGAAGGTATTCGTCGCCTTGTTTATGGCGCAGGAAGAGGAATTGAATTGCTCAGCACCTTTATATCACGCCCCGATCTCCGATGGTTGGGCCACATGTTACGCATGCCAGCCTACCGACTTCCGCGACGTGCGTTGTTTGCGCTCCGAGGGTGCGGATGGAAAAAGAGGAGAAGTGACCAAACGGCGACTTGGTCGAGAGGAATGAAGGCCCTTACTTCGATGTTGGCCTCGGTTGGAGCCTCTCGGTTCCCTGGTTGGGGACCGAAAGCCGGTGAACAAGTTTGGTTGGATGCACTTGTTGTCATGACTAAGAGCAGACAGTAATGGCGTTTGTGTTGTGAGTTCCTTTGTCCTAAACTCTCCCGCTTGGCCTCCCCCTCCAACAACGATCTGATTTATTAGGCATAATATAACTCACTTTTTGGGACACAATATCCGGCTGTTAGCTCTCCGGAACGATGTCCATCCGTTACTGGTGATTCAGCCGGCATGCGTCTGTTTCATGTCCTTTTTTCTTTTTTTTTATATTGCGGCACAGCAGCTGTGTTCTTCACCCGCAGCTAGCGTGTGTACTAAATGTATGAATGTTTGAGTGGAAGGTACCGGTGGAGACTGCGCCTGACCAAAGCGCAGAGACCTGACACAGAATCTACCATGGGTAAACGTGAAATCGTCTTATACCAGTGGCATGAAAGCCATCCACTTTCAAGGGGTGACTTCGTCTTGCTGTTCTTAACGGCTGCTAGCAAGTTAACCCAACTCGTGGACCAGATACTCTTCAATCCAGTTAATTCTTTTCTTCAGTGTAATCAAGCTACCCAGTGGGGCTTGTTCACATTCGTATTTACAAGGGTAGGGCTCACCTAATTCCGCTGCTGGGGTTATTTTTGACTAGCCCAAGAGCAGTATAATTCCGCGGTCAAAATTAATGGAAGCTCTTGTCTTCAGCACGTGCCTATTACAATGATGCAAGCGGTCATTTAGTTTTATCGCATTCCAGCGCACACAATTACATTCCTTTCGTCATTTTTCCTCTTTGCAGGAACTATCTTCTTGCCAGTCTGCTGTGGACACCATACGCAAGCAAATAGAGAAAGAAGCCGCGAAAAAGACAGAACTGGATGCAAAGATTTCGGCAGAATTACGCGATAGGTTGATAGCTAAAAAGGCAATGGAATATGTCAAGAAACTGGATCTAAAAGTTCAAGATCAGAGTAGAGAACTACTCACACAGGTGCTGTCTCATTTTACTTTGTTGCTTAACGTTGATGGGATCAGCTGTTGTTCATTTCCTGCATATTGTGTGTGGGGTAAACTATGAACTATCATCCTATTCATCATTGACAGTACAAAGAAGTTTCTACTTACCGATTTGGGAGCTAACAACGAAACGGCACTTTACCACATAAACTCTTCAAATACAACGGCTCCAGTATCCAATCAAAGAATAGCAATGTTCCTGACAAACGACTAAATAATGGTGTACTTTTGTGACGGAGATTGTCTTGCAAGCTATCAAATACTGCTGCCCGATCTACTAGTCATCGATTCTCTGACAATCAGTTCCCATCACTTACTTCTTTTGTCTGGGCAGTATTCTTCAGATGCATGTATTTCAGTCAGTCAAGCGCCTAATTCAGTAACATGTTCATCAGATCCTGTGAAAGTTTTCAAGCCTCTAGATAGCAGTCAGGCAGTAAGAGAGCTTATTTCAGACTAATTAACATAAGATCGGTTCGTGTATTTGTTAGATGCTTGACGTTTGGCTTTCAACACAGGTGCTTCTTCAGGCAAAGTTTTCGTACCAAAGGCGAAACGTCATGCGCTCAAGTGTCCCATTATCTGGTCGCTCACTAAGCCTTCTGCAATGGTGACCACTCTTGATTGCAAACTTATTCCAAATTATATTCATTGATCTCCTTAGTGCTGTTTATTTACCACGATATACGTTAGCGTAAAGTTTCTCCGTTCTGCCGCATGTTTATCTTATTTCCACGGATAGATGAAAGGTATGGACAACGTTTAACACAACCTACCAATAGCATATGCTAGTATATAAGCCATCAATCTGATTCAATTGATTAACCCAGGCAATTATGCAGCTGATATGGCACGTGTGCTACGTCATTACTGCAGTTGGTCCGTATGGGTACCTACGTGTAGAGTTTCTTTCATTCTAGATGTGGTCGTTGCCTGATATTCACATTGCGGCTGCGCTTGATGTGAATGTTTACAAGCTGCTTACATGTCTATTACCCTCCACCTCTTCTATACTGGCTGCAGGAGATTGTGAAACTACCCTGGAGGACAGGGGTGCACGGTCTTCGTTAGCGTGCTAAGATCAAAGGGTCGTTCCATGCATCCAGTGTGAAGCAGGCTAAGGCCAAGTCCTTAGGTATGTCTGGTACGCATGATTCCCAAAGCAGGTAGACAAGAAAACTGTTGTTGTCCTTGTTGAAGATGTGTGGGCTAGCTCTGGTGATGAAACGTGGCTGCCATCTGCATGCCCCCCGGCCTTATTCCTTCTGATTTACACTGGAGATGGAGTGTGTGGATGGATTTGTGGGTGGTGCATCGCAATCTACCCATGGTCTCTCTGTAGGCGTAGGCGTCCTGTGGCTGTCCCCTTGGAGGCTGCAGTGACAAGCAAATTCGAAATCAGATGCCACCAACCATATATAATCAGGGACATGTGCTCCTTAGCCTCGATTAAATATGGGATTGCTTAACGGAAACTGTGTCCAGTGGTATGCAGACATGCGAGGATTGTGCAGGGATAAGTGACTGTACGACTTTTTACTGTGGTTCTATGCAGTCACCATGCATGTGCGATTAAAGCGCGCTTGTGTGCATTTAGGCACAAAATGGTCATCTACCATGGTAGTGAAAGCCCATATATGGTGGTTGGCGGCATCCGGTTTCGGATTTGCCTGTCACTGTGGTCAGCCACAGGACGCCTGCGCCTACAGAGGGACCATGGATGGCTTGCGCTGCACCACCCACAGCTCCAACCACACACCCCATATCCAGTGTAAACCCGAAGGAATAAGACCGGGAGGCATGTGGATGGGAGCCACGTTTCATCAACGGAGCCGGCCCACACTCCTTCACAGGCAAACACAAGCACCCTGTATTTGGGGAACCAACCGCACACAAGGCGGTGGCTGGACCGTAGTCCGCTCTACACTGACTGCATGGAATCACTCTTTGATCCTAACACGGTTGCAAGGACCGTGCACCCCGTCCCCTCCAGCAACGACCAACTGTCTCCTGGAGCCAGTATGGACGAGGTAGTGGGTAATAGACTGGTAGGCATCTTGTCAACATGCACATCAAGCGCAGCCTCACCGGGGATATCAAGCAACAGCCAATCACTTGAGAGAAAGATAACAAAGAAAATAAATCGAGTAATGCATAAGGAAAGGGTGACATATATCTTAAAGTAATGAGCATCTGAAGTAACTTGTTTATAGAAGAATGAGCGATAAGTTCACGAGGTAAGAAAGTATACTTTACGGAAATGTCACGAACACAAAAACGTTTTCGAAAAGGACTAGAATTGGCTTAAGTGACGTGTGCAAGTTTATAGAAGAGAGTACAGGTAAACAAGTATATGAGAAAGAAATCCATTAGGACAAAATTGAAGACCCAGCACTTGAAATAAACAGACCTAGCACGCAAGCAAACGGTGACATAAATCTTAAATTAGTGAGCATATGAAATAAGTTGCTTACAAAAGAATACGTTTACAAAGGAATACGAGGTAAGTTCACGAGGTCAGGAGGTTTATTTTACGGAAATGCTACAAACACGAAAAAGTTATCGAAATAACTACAAGTGGCTTAAGCGACGTGTGCAAGTGTATAGAAGAGAGTATAACTAGGCATTTAATTGGGAAAGGAAAGCATTAGGGCAAAATTGAAAACCCACCACCTGAAATAAATAGACTTAGCATGCAAGCACGCGGTTAGCAAATCGAATGCAGCGTACCGACAAATGCTGCGCCGTTTCTGCCTACGTTCTCTGCAGAACCCATCGGCGCTTCGGTAGTAGTCCCGAGTAGCCTCGCTCATGGCTCACTAGGCCTGCCTGACTCAGGCACTCGCGACCGCATGTGCTACAGCACCATGCACTCGATGTCGATGGAGTACAATCCATCGGTGCTTGCCGCTTCCGCACTTGCCGCTTCTTCTCTGCATGCATGAGGTCTTTCTCCCGCACTTCAGCAACTGCCTTCGTGATGAGATCGCGCCATACGCGCCGATCAACCGCTTTCGATTCCCATGACCTGCAATCAAGATTAGAACGTGTGAGGCTCACTTTGATCATGTCCTGGTAACGTAAGTTCGGTTTCCCCACATGCCGCTTCCCAACACTCAGCTGACCATATAAGAGTTGATTCGGTATCCGCGTCGAATCCATACGGCTCACATGACCGAGCCATCTCAGGTGTTTCAGTAAAAGTATGCAGTCCACTGCATACATCCCACTTCGGCGCAACAGTTCCGTGTCTGCAACTCTGGCGCCTCAACCTATGCGCAAAATTCGTCGCAGATACTGCTGATGGAACCGCTGGAGATATCGCACATCCCGACGGTACATCGTCCACATTTCACTGCCGTATAGAAGAACGGACAGTACCGTGGATTTGTACACCATCAGCTTTGTGCCAATGGTAAGCTGATGGTTGTTCCACACTCGGTACTCAAGCTTCCCAAATACCGCTGCTGCCTTCGACACGCGAATACGCAACTCAACGTGTAGCTGCTGATCAGTCGACATCACACTCCCAAGGTAGCTGAAGCGGGAGGTGGTTTCTAATACTTCAGCACCAACGCTGAGTCGCAGTAATATTGCAGATTGCACCTCCGGTGAAGGCTGAAAGAGACAGACGGTTTGCTTGTGTTGATGGTGAGCCAAAATTTGCCGCTGTCGAAGCCAGAGCACTAGTCATGTGCTGCAACTCATCCGCGCTGTGTGGAAACAACGCACAGTCGTCAGCAAACAGTAACATACGGATAGTTGTCTCACAGACTAGAGTTCTCGCACCGAAACGACGGATGTTCAGCAACCCACCATCAATACGGTGCTCCTTACGAACACCGTAAGCACAAGCGGCATCAAAAGCACAAGACAACATTGCATGAAGATATATATTAAACAGGGCAGGAGCTAAGACACAGCCTTTCTTCACACCAGAGACAACTTCAAAGTCATCCAAGGTCTCTCCACTCAGTTGCACCCTCGCTCGCATACCACTATGCAGACATTCAATTTAACTTACAAACTTACTCGGGAAACCAAATTTACCCAACACCAGCCACAATGCCTCGCGGTTCACCGTATCAAATGCTTTGGTGAAATCAACAAAAAGCGAGTACAATGGCTGCTGTCGTTCCCTGCACTTCTCCTGCAACTGACGAGCCGCAAACACTAAATCTATAGTGCTGCGACCCGAACGGAATCCACACTGCTCTTCCGCCACGTTAGGTTCCACAGCCTGACTGACGAGCCGGTTGAGCAGAATTCGAGCAATCACCTTGCCCACACAACTCAGCAAGTTGATGCCACGATAATTCGTGCAACATTGCTTGCTACCTTTGCCCTTGTACAGTGGTAGCACAAGGGCATCCTTCAGCTCAGGAGGCACCTCCTCCTCATTCCATACACGTTGCACCAAGTGGTGCAGCGCAGTCAACAACGCGGGTCCGCCGTGTTTCAATACATCAGGCGGGATCCCGTCGGCTCCGGCACACTTGCCGTTTCGCAGCTGAGCAAGTGCTCGCTGCATCTCATCCAGTGTCGGCGTATCCGCCAGATTCGCCTTCACATCGTGCTGCTTCAGGCCATTCAATGTAGGCCAGTCGATCCCTGGACGGTTGTTCAAGAGACAGTCAAAGTGTTTCCGTCAGATCTGCATTATGTCCGCAGTCTGTGTGCAGGTAGCGCCTGAACTACCATCGATCAGTGTCCTCAGCGGCTCCAATCTCGGTCCATACACCGCCTTCAAGGAATCAAAGAATTCCTTGTGTTGGCGGCGTTCGGCGTAGCATTTCATCTGCTTCGCCTTCTCCGTCCACCATGCATATTTTATGCGACGGAGCTCTCGGGTCAGTCGCCATCGAAGTTTGCGAAACTGACTCTTCTTCCCCAAGTCACTGGGATCTGCAACGTGTGCAGCAAATGCTGCATTCTTCTCCGACACCAATGCGCCGATCGTCGCATTGTTCTCATCAAACCAACCACGACGCTTACAGTTTAAACGCATGATGGTCTCCTCGGCTGCAGCTGTTACCTGGTCGCAAATGTGGTGCCACAGGTCGCCCACTGTGGCTATGCAGTCCACATCACACAGGCGTGCAGCCATCGCCTTCTCCAGCTCAGTACGTTTCGCCACAGTACCGAGGGAGAGAATGTGAAATTTGCGCCGACTCGCGACAGGAATGCAATACATTGATTTACGAAAATATATATACAGTTTGGTCTGCACCAAGTTGTGATCAGTGCCACACTCAGCTCCACGCAGTACACGTGTCATGCGCACCTCACGCATATCACCGTGTCGTGCGATGACATAGTCGAGCAGGTGAGCGTGACCACTCCGTGGGTGCGCCCAAGTTGCTATATCATTCGCACTCAGTGCAAACCGAGTGTTCCTGATCGTCAGGCCGTGATGGGCACACAGTGAGAGCAGCCTGTCATCGTTCGCATTCGCTGAACCAATGCCATGCGAACCGATAACATCTGTCCACACCGATGCATCACGCCCAGCGCGCGCGTTGAAATCACCCAGCAGAAATAGTCGGTCGCTCCTCGGCACAGACCGTATCACGGAGGATAGCTCAGTGTAGAATTAATCACGCGTGTCATCAGGATAACACATGGTCGGACCGTACGTGCTTATAAAGGTGGCAAACTTATCTCTTCCGAGTCGTAGACGAACAGCCATCAGTCGCGCGCTGATGCCTGTTGGTTCACCCACCAGCTGGCCATGGAGGCGATCGGATATTGCAAATCCGACCTCATGTTCACGTGGAGCTGAGGCGGCGTTGCCCACCCAGTAGAATGTGTAGCCAGCACCTGCTTCATGCAACTTCCTTGCTCAGCGAGCCGGGTTTCACTGAGCGCCGCAATATCGATGTTGTAGCGCGCCAGCTCCATCGCGACGAGTGCAGTGCGTCGCTCCGGGCGCTCGCTGGAGCCCCCTTCCAGTAGTGTGCGCACGTTCTAGCATCCGATGCTGAGTGGTTTGCGCGCAGGCATACGATTGCATTGGTGGGAAATCGCACGCGAGATGGTTTTTGTGCTTCGGAGGTTTGCTTGAGGGATTCCGCCCGGAGCCTTTGGCTCAATAGCCTGACCCACAAGGCAGTGGGTGGTTTGGAGGTTTGTTTGTGGGATTCCGCTCGGAGGCTTTGGCTCAACAGCCTGACTTCCAAGGCTGTGGGGAGCAGATCCAGCTCGGCAATGTAATTGCAGAGACAGATTGGGATCTGCTTGACGGCCGTCACACGCAGCCTTTGAGGTACCGGAACGATTATTATATGTTTTGCGACCGTAGTAGGATACGCACCTGCAACCACGGCCAGACGCAGCTGGGTTTTGGCCGCTTTGCACCAATTTGACCAGGGGCTGCCTGGCATGAGGCGGGCAGTGGCAAACCATTGAACACCCGGAGGTGTCCTCCCACCGTCAGAGACAATGCTTGACGCTCGTGCTCTACGTCAATCGAGCTGTGAGCTTATAACGCGTAGACCTGTTGTCTCCCATGGCTAGGTTTTACGGGAAGTGGGCCATCGACCACTTCCTAACCTCCGAAGAGGATGGACTAGGATACTGGCAGGGCGCCCACACCTGACAGGAGAACGACTCGGGTCCTCAGTCAAAGCCTTCGATAAAATGAACACCCGAAAGGCAGCGGGTCTAGCACATGGTCATTCCACTGACTCATGCGGATTGGTGTCCTGGATCTTAGCAGGGAGAAGGGCGTAAACCAACTCCCACCCAGCGGTCGCCACGTGGAGGCGCCTAGGACATGAGACTATGGCGCGACAGTAGCAGCAGCGGGTAGACCATCCGTCAGGATCTAGCCACCACCAGCCTCAGCGCACCATAGGCTCTCCCGCCAGTGAAAGCCCATAACCACGTTATTTATCTACATGAACATTTAAGTCAGTTTATATTCACCCACCTTTGTCTGTGAGCGCTAGAAAGGCAGGGAATTTTTACCAGGTTCCACCTACTATACTAACTTTCCATACATTTCGATATATTTTAACCGTCACACGCTCGTGACGTGAATACCTTCCTTTCACTTGCAGATTGCTCAGCTGGAGAACGAAATAGCCCGCGATGAGCTGGCCGCAGCAGTTAAAAAATCGGAAAATGAACGACTGAAGCAACGCATTCAGGAAGTGGAGGATGAGATCAAGGAGCAAAATGCTTCAATCAACAAGGTGGAAGTAGAGATTCATCGTGCGAGTGTGATGGTGGAACGGAAACAAAGTGCAATCGATCTCCTGAACAAAAAACTCGAAGGCCTGTTGCGTGAAACCGGCGTAAGTGAATCTGGGACGCCTGGACTTGGGGAAAGACTTGGTGGATACTTTTCAGCTGGTTGTGTGTGTTGTTCTGACTTACAACTTATGACGTACTGAGCTTAGGGCTAAAAGTCCAACACTTTGTGTGTTCTGGGCACCATCCGCTTGAAGAAACTAAGTAGCAGTGTTTCACTTTCACATACTACTTCTTGCAGTGAGCATCATCTTAAAATATGCCATAAATCGACCGAGTCAATGCGAGGATTTGTGTACAAACCGGTCGACGGTATCGTGGTTCCTGTCATTCAGCAACAAATAATGAAGTCACATAAGTTCTTATGGTGGGTATAACGAAAGGTCATTACTTCATCGACATTCTAATCTCTGCTGTTTCCTATAAAACCAACTGCATATTATTCGACAAGTCCGAAATGGTTTCTAATTTTTCAACCGCCTGTGCTTCACGACTGGCGGATGTAATATGATGCCACATAATTTTATCGATCAACAGACAGCTTTCACATTTTGACCTGAATTACGAGCATCAAGGGCTGAGTCCACTTATCTTGGCTATTACCTCACGCATGTCGGCCAGCTGACCATAGGGATTGATGTGTGCGCCTTGGCTGATCTCCTGAGGTGACATATCGAAGCTTCCAAGCTAAAATTTATACCCATGCAAGGTGCGTTGCCACTGAGTGTTTGGTGTATAACGAAAAAGTGCCATATTTGAATTATGCGCATGACGGAAAGGGCTGAGGCCTCACCGCCCATAATGTACGCATCAAACACACCACGCGGCCAGATAGGGCATCGAAGTGCGCTTAAAACCTTTCGAGGGAATACGCGGCATGGATGCAGGTTCTCTGTGGACGGTTCCACAGATGGTCGTATTACTTTACTCGAACATTTGGTTAAATGTGAGTTTGTTATTGTTCCTAGTTTCTTAATTTCTCTAACGCCTTAACCCATTCCCACCACTGACACACCCAGCAGAGAAGCAGCCTATCTTGTTCCACTTTTCTGGCAGTTCATCCACATGTCACGGTTAGCTCGATATCAGATAAACCCAAACCTTGCTTCGGGACATCAACCTTTTCCGCCCACCCGGTCTTACTAGCGCGAACAATGCCCTTACACCTGAGCATTCCACCGATGGGTTTGTTTTCATCACTCCCTTATTTAACTTCTTTGCCCATCATTTCCGATCCCCAGTCCTTTGAAGTACTTACAGAAAACGTTTTTGTGCACATTACATTTTCACTTCTCCTAATTAACGCAAGATCCATAAAAAAACAGGTTGCATTTTGCAAGCATGCTTACTCAGCTGTGCACCCCACATGTAATCTGCGTCACCGAAACATGGTGCTCCCTTGATACATTGGATGCTACTTTAGATATTCCTAACTACTATCTATTTCGGAAAGATCGCAGCACAAAGAATGGCGGCGGGTGCATCGTATATCTCCATCGGAACTTCAGAGCAGAGTTCATTGATGACCCACAGTTAAACAATGTCCCAGGGTCTCTATGGCTATCGGTCGCTGCAGTCTGCCCTACAATACTTTCGGTTGCATCTACAACCCTCCGAAAGCGACAGCAAAAGAAATCGTAATTATCTCCTCGACTTTTGAATTCGCATCGGTGTTACCACACAGTCTAAAGATAATCGTTGGCGATTTCAATCTACCGAATATTACTTGGTTACCACAAACATCCTCATCATTGCACAGATCTTTCTTATCGACTATCAGAGTTGGGAGTGGGACTCAGTGGGTTACCAGACCAACTAGGTTTGCCAACATACTGGATTTAATCTTCACCCTGGGGCTTCCTGACACACAAATTGACATCTTAGACAACCTTCCGGGTAGTGACCACAACATGCTACGCCTTTCCATCCACTTGGAAAAGAATACTAAACTCGACTCACCTACCCTGCATACTATACGAAGGATTGACTGGGAGCATTTCGGAAAGCCGATCCGGTCCTCTAACTGGGATGGGTTTTTTCCCTCCACTAGCCCCCACATTACAGTGGAACATTTCTACTACCAGATCAATCGCATCCTAACTGTACATGTCCCGCATAATAAACGTGCCATTCCTTGTCCTATGAATGTAAGCGACACTCTTAGTGACTTGAAAATGAGAAAACTACTCGGGAAATTCAGAAAAGCTAGTGACTTCTCACTAGTATTACAGCCGCACTAATCCACTGCCTGCAGCAAGCGATCACAAATGAAACGGATTGAAACGGAAGAGGAGAACGCCTTGCAGATGATATGCAAAAGAAAGGAAATGGCCAAATTACTCCGTCGTAGGACTAACAATCGAATGTCTTTGATTACAGAACTTATTGATGAGGAGGGTCGCCACCTTAACGACCCACCTGCAATTTGGGAAGCGGTTAGCAGTTTTCTCGCTGCTTCCATAAACGTAGAAACTGACCATATACCTTGCTGCCCGGAAGTTACAACAAGCGGCATAGATAATGTCGCGATTTCTCTTTCGACCATCCAACAGGCTATGAAGTCCATCAAACCATCGCTCAAACCAGACTCCGACGGCATCCCCCCATCAGTTATTAAACTTGGTGGACTTGACATACCACTGCTTTTGCTACACATGTTCACCTTGTCCTTAGAATCTAGCTACTTTCCGGACTAGTGGAAAACATCGTTTCTTATCCCTCGTCATAAAGGGAGGCCCAAACAGCACGTTACTAATTATTGACTTATCCATCATACTCCTGTCATCGCTAGATTACTCGAAAAATTAGTTAAAAGTAGAATCATGGACTTTATCCATCGTCATGGGCTACTTAACAAATCCCAGCATGTGTTCCTCGACAAACGTTCCTGTACAACGTGTCAGTTGCACTATCTGGATTACATCACAGAAGCCATTGATTCGAAATATGCAGTTATAATACTGTTCCTGGATATGCAGAAAGCATTTGTTAGAGTACCTCCACAAGCGGCTACTGAAACAATTGAGTCGTTTGGAATCAGAAACCCACTATTTGGTTGGTTGACATCATACCTAAATGGGCGTTACCAGATAGTCACTCTGGGTAATCATAACTCCTCCCCACGTCCAATCACTAGTGATGTCATCCAAGAGAGTGTACTTGGTCCTTCGCATTTCCTACTTTATATTAACGATATCACGGTGTTCATAAATCATGGCAGGCCATTTTTGTTCTCCGATGACATAAAGATTGTTTATAAATTTGGACGAGACGAACTCAATAGCGCAATGCTGTTCGTTCAACAAGATCTCTATTCACTTGAAAAATGATGCAACAAATGGATGCTAAATTTCTCAGCTAGTAAATCATGCCGTGTGGTGTCACACGGCTGTTTAATCCCTGAAGAGTCTGTTAAACTGAACAATGAACGTATCTGTGTGAAACTATCCAACTGTCATCTAGGCATAAGATTCTCTTCAAACTTTAATTTCTCAGAGCATGCTGAGTATCAAATAGCACGTGCCAAACGATCTGTGGCTAACATATGCCATGAAACCTATACAACCCCTGCCAGACCCGAGCTTTTCAAAATACTTACACTTCCTGTCCTTGAATGCTGCAGCATCATCTATGGGAACAAGCGAATGCGTGACAGGAAAGCTTTAGAAAACCTGCAAAGTGCAATCATTCACTAAGCGCTTGTTCAGTAAATCAATCATCTTGAGTTATCAGGAACGCTGCCAGCAGCTTAAGCTCGAGCCCCTTTGGTTGCGACGACTGAAACATAACCTGATGCTGACACATAATCTCATAAACCAAAAGACACCAATCTGTGTACACTTACAATTCAACATAACTTCACTCGGAATATACGCAGCGAGACCTGTACATTATGTGTGCCGAGAACCAGGACAGCTATCCTAGCAAACTTCTTCCTCGTGTAGAATAGCCTACCAGTCACAATCAGGTTTTGCACAAATGCAAGAGCATTCCACATTCAGCTTAACAAATTCCTCGACCCAAACTCGATAATGACCATGTTTCCATCGGGGCAATCACCACACGAATGCTTTCAGGATGTACCACGGAACATATAATCAATGATTAAAGATGGTACAAAGAACTCAGCAACAACAAAAGTTACGTGATTCCAAGTTATTTTGATATCATACACCCTATGTTACATATTTCACTCATGCATGATCATGTGAATTATTGTACCCATGATCTGTCCACAATCCAGGGACAGCTTCTCGTACAATCGAGAAATATACGTATTATTATTATTTTAAAATCCGTTCGAGATCCACGGTATAAAGCGTGCAGTTAGCTCTTTTATGTGATTTTGCTGTACACATTGATCAGACCACCCAGTTGGACTGTACCTTGCACCGTCGAGGAATATACCATTTATTTATAAAATACTACACCTCTCGGTAAGTTGAGGTGCAATCATATCGACGAGATCCGATCACTGTAGGCATGCTTGTACCAAAATGGTGCAGAATAAAAGAATCAACTGCTACGGAAAGCTAACTTGGGTAGTATGCGTCAGTCATAGTTGGCAAATTGCACATCACCGCAGAAAACTTCAAAACTTTGCCTTTTTTGGTCTGTCTGTGCGATGCACCAATAGCAGTTGATGGCCTTTTTTCCTGGTACAGTCACAATCATTAGAATCAGAAGCGGTTTTTCATGTTTCGGCCTATGCTGCCAGAGTTTTCCAGGTGAACTTGTCTTGAGAGAAAGCATCCAAGCATAGGAGAAAGTATGAAAGTGTGCAGTCCAAAAGATTGAGATAACAGTTTGGTAGTAATGACAAAGTCGACTATGCTACTGTATGACTAGTGCTGTTATATGGACGCTAAATAATTGCACTGTGGTTTGAGAATATGCGAGGTAACTTGGTCTCGGTCCCCCGGATTCTGAGGCTCGCATGATTTTGTTCAATGATATTGCATTTAAATCTCAGTGAAATATCCTAAAGACTCGAACCAACTGTGCTCCCTGGCTTAGCTTGGTGATTGCTAAACTCCCACCTCAG